GCCACCAGGGAGGGCCCCAGGTGTTTGGTTTTTTTTTTTTTTTTTACAGAAAAATAGATACAAAGGGCCATGTACAGAAAGTTGCCACTCCAGTACCTGGATAAGTGTATAGTGGACTCAAGAACACAAGTTAAGGAGCCGGACGCTGGAGCTTTTGTTCCCTCCAAGAGGACGCAGCCCAGGCCCCAGTCCAGGATGGCGACCGTCTACACCACAGCCTCCTCAGGACTCCCAGGGACTCCTGCAGAGCTTCCAGCCAGTGGAACGTGTCCGCCCCGAGAAGGCAGGGGTCTTCCCTATGGCCAGCGCAAAGGGCCGCTCCTCCCCTTCATCTAGCTGGCCCACACCAGGGCAGCCCTCTCGCTCGCTCCCTGTCCTCGCCACAATGCTTTCTACTCTAATCATGTCTTTTTAGAGGTCAAATTAATGAACCCGCCCTGGGACGATGCATGGAAAAAAATGTGTGAACCTCAAACAATACACTCCTTTTCAGAAAAAAATGACAGTCTTGTTCTCCCGGCATCCTCTGCTCTCCCTTCCATCTCCACCCCATATCTCCACTCATCTGTCCGTCTATGGAGAATGGCTATGTCCTTTCATTCAGGAATATCCTGCAACTGCGTTTTCTTTCCATCCCATGTAAACATAACTCTTGAGACGTTACCAAACTAAATTCTTATCCTTAAACTTGTCCCTGCAAATTTCAGCTTGCTTCTGAGGGAGCGTTTTCCCCAACACAAACAGAATTCAAAATGACTTGAGAAAACCTCTAGGGTGTGAATCACATCATTTGATCTCACGTGACTTTGGGCATTTTGTAATTCCTTTAAATCATCAATTCACCAGAAGTACCCCATACAGGGGACCCAAGGCCAGGCCGGCGGATCCTCTCTCTTCACTGGCATTGAGCCACTGGCAGCTCCCTCTGGAGCTCCAAGTGGCCTTCGAGAGCAGCCACTGAAAACTGTGTTGTAGAAAGTCCTACAATTTGCTGGCTTTGGCCCTCCAACGGTTCCCACAGTAAGACGGCGCAAATCTAAACTCCCGGCCCAGATGACAAGGGTTCCCCCACACAGGTCCCTGCTGGACCCCACGCTACCACCTTCCCAACTCTGGGTACCCAGACCATCCTGAAGTCCCCACCCCCTTTTCACCTCTGAGAACTAGCGACCCTCTTCTCTCTGCCTGACAGATCTCCCACAAGTCCTCTACAGACGGGCTTCCCCAGAAGCCGTTGCTTGTTTACTTCGACTTCCTGCTTTCTCCTCCAAGGAGAGGCTAATCTCCATAAAGACGCTGCCGGGTCTTGCTCACGCTGGGTCCCCCAGACTCCAGGGCCCCAGATCTCGCGGAATGAACGGGTGTGGGTGAGATGCGTGTTGCCCAGCCACTCAGGGCACTGTAGGCTGCAGTCTGGCCTCCGCTGAGCAGGAGCCGGGGAGGGGCCCAGACACCAGCCAGAAGGCCAATTGGCCTTTGCCTCCCTCACCTGCGAGCTGCAACGAGAAGCCTGTACCCACAGGTTATAAAAGAGCTGCAGGCCAGCGCGCCATTTTCCGCTCATACTTCATTTTCACTACTCAAAACAAATTTCTGGTGATAAAATCTGCATAAATATTTTCCTCGTTACTTCTAAACCAATTACTATACTCATCAACTCTTGGAATATCACGAGAGAAGGAATCCAGTCGCTTGCAAAAATTACACATTTCCTTTGTAGTTTTGTTTCCAAGACAGCATTATGGTCTCCACCAATGAAAAATGCCTTCTTAATGGATTCTGAGACATGAATATTACTACAAATTTTGAGCGCTACAGCAAAACAAAAACGTAAAATTACCCCGAAAGACTGAGAGGACCAATGCTAAAAGACTGGCTTTGTTCGGTTACTTAAGTTTTATTCAGGTTTCAAATACAAAGAGAGGAATCATCATTAAGGACGGAACCTTTCCTACAAAGCCTGAAGTTTCCAAGTGCAATAGAAAGTATGGGGAGGAAATGGTTTTGTCAGATAGACAAAAACAAGCCTTTCCTGGGTACTGAAAAAGCTGGTCAATGTGGGGTGGTAAAGAACAATAAAGCAGGGTGAAAATCTGCACCGCCATCGCTCAGTGAGCTGAGAGGAGCCCTTACACAGCTCCACTTTTTAAGAAAGGCACCATGGTGGGCCCTCCCAGGCTCAGCCTACGAGTAATTATCTTAGGATGCACAACAAGGGCCTCTCCAGTGGCTCAGCGGTTAAAGCCCAGCACTATGAAGCTGTCCCAGGGTTGGACCGCCCGCCTGGAGCTGACCCACAGGGCGCAGCAGACCTCTCCTGTCTCCCTGCTGCACCCCTCAGCAGTGAATTTCAGCACATCTGCCTGTTCTGCTCCCCACTCTGTCTCTGGAGAACCCTCTCACCAATCCCCACCTCTGGCCTGTACCCCAGTACTGTATGCATAACTAAATAAATCCATGAAGAAGAAGAAAGGCACCACAGTGAAAAAATCTTAGGACTCATGTCCGAGGCAGCAGGGCCACCCCCGGCTCCCCACCCTACCTTGCAGCCGCTGTGAGCCCTGGTCTTCATCAGGGGGGTGGTGGTGCACAGCTCGATGGCCTCGGGCTCATGGAAGATGACGGCTGGGAGAGGTTCCTTCTTCAGTGTGAGGACATTCAGCTTGGACTTCAGCATGGTCTGAAAGTGCTAAAAAGCAAGAAAAAAATCAGCCAATTCAATCACCCAGTTCAATACAGTTCAATACTAGACATCAAAGGTGGTGTGATGGGAGCACAAACCCCGTGCAAAATCTCTGTTACTGTGACTGTTTACCAGCGGCCAAGCGCGATTTAGTAAAGTGGAGGGAAAGCATGGCCAGTGCGTTGGCAACTGCAGCGGGGGGTGAGGGGGGGGGCATCACCAGACACACGGAAACACAGGGAGAAGGGCGGAGTCGCGCGGACCACGCTCCCAGGAGTTCTTCCAAGACAGAGGCAGTCCTGGAGATGCAATCCAAGCTGAGTAAGTAAGATGCGCGAGAGAAAGCTAGAGGAGGCCTCTGGAGGAAAGTGGAGAGATGATGCAAGGGGAAGTGAAGAAAGAGAACACAGGACTTTGCCCTCTGCCTGCCCCCTGCCCTGCCAGGCCTGGCTGCAGAATTCTAAGAGACTCTCTACTTCTCTGTGGCCTCTCGGACCATGTTGCCTGCTGTCTCTGGCCAGGACCCGAGGCAAATACCCACTGAACATGCCATGCCTGTTGGCACTGGTTTTTGAAGTGTGCTCAGAAACCAACCCTATGTTGCCGCTGCTCGGCTAAGCCACCCAGTGGGCGCTGTCTTGATTTGCTGTCTGTCACAGCAGCTTCGAAATCGATCCTACCACTTCCAATCCTGCCACCAAAGTCTTGCCACCGCAGCCCGGGGGATCCCCCTAAAAGCTAATTAAGCATGCCATCCCTCTAAAACTCTCAGCCTTTCAGAAAAAATTCTCAGTCCTTCCTTGTCATTGATACCGGACATGACTCACGGCCTCTACGTCTCTGATGTCTTCTCCTGCCCTCACTCCCACTCACCTGCCTTGGGTCAAAATAAGCGGCCTGCTTTTCTCCGGGAGACTAGGCCAAGGAGTCTGCAGCTGGGATTCTCTGAACACGCCCCTCCCCTCCTGCCTGGGGAGTCCGCACAGCTGCTTCCTCACCTTCTGCAGGACCCTGGTCTACGTCAGCTCCTGAGACATCCGCTGCACGAGCAGAGGCCTGAGTGCATGCACGTTGGCTGCTTCCAGGGCGTGCAGTCAGGGTGCGCCATGCTTGGCCTACCACCATCTTGAAATTCTTAGTAACTTTACCTCTGAGCTTGTGTTCTGTAAGCTAAGTCCAGTGGGACAGGGTTGCACACAGTGAGTAGGACGAGAGGCAAGACAGTTCGGGATTCAGCGAGATGCAAAGGGCGCACAAGGCGAGCTCGGGACATCCCTGACTTAGGCACAGACCGCTGACACCCCCGGGGCCTCCCTTCTGAAGGAGAACCTGCCCCCAACAAAAGTCAGCTGGGTCCTCGGAAACACGAACGCTCTGGGAGCTGTGTTGGATCATTTTCCTCTGTGAGACATCCCGGCATAGACAGCCCTTCACAATCGAGAGCACAGGGCAGGAGGCAGGAGGGGTGAGAGCCCGCCTCCTTCCAGTCCCTCCTTCCTGGTCAGTCAACCAGGAGGTGGAGTAAGGGCAGGACATGCACGTGTTAGAAGCGAGATAAAAGCAGGTGTGTGGCGGTTTTGTAAGTACTCACTGAGCTAATATTTCCAGTTTCCAGTGTTTTGGCAAGAACAAAACTCAGTGTGTGTGCAAACTAGCAAATAAATGCATACTGTGCTGTCGCAGTGACCTCACTCACAGAGGTGTGAAAGGTATGACAAATACAATGGTGAATGTGAAGTCATGCTAATCATCAACTCTTTAATTCTCTTGCGGCACAGCACTAACCAGCAAATTAAAAAACTGAGCAAAACATTACTGACTAGACCAAGAAAAGGAAAAGTTATATGTTCAACTCCTTTTAATGGTAATCTTTTTCTACATTTTGATCAGAGGAGACTGAATTTTCAATTCATGCTGACACCCACAAACTATGTAGCACATACATCCTCATCACTGTCAAGTTCCACCTCCAGTTTTGATATTCTTATCCCTATTCAACATCACTATGAAACTTAATCCATATGTGTTGTTGTATGGCACCACAGACCGGCTATAGGAGCAGAAGCTCTTTTATTCTGTGAAGTATCGAGGGGCCTAAAACAGCTCCTGACACGTCAGAGATGTCCAAGGCGTATTTATGGAAGCGATCCAGAGGACAAAATGAAAGAAGGCACAGTATGAATTTAAAAATAATGATCCCTACAGCAGGGTCCACAGACCAGCCCTGCTCAGGCAAGGAGGCCCTTCTGCATCTGCTGTGGCGTGCACAGCAGTGAGGGTGGGAGAGAGGAGTGGATGATGAAATGCATCCCCAAGGAAAGCACCAACAGCTCCCCTCCAATCCAATACAAAGGCAGTAGAGGTTTTTAAATTTGATTCAATACAAGCTCTCCATTTCCTAACCCCACATAGAACCTGCTAGAAATCCAGCCAATAGTCAGTTTGAGTGTCCACTGGTTAGACACCCCATGCTCAATCAAACAATAACCTGGGTTGCTGGGAAGGTAACTTTAGATATGGTTAAAGTTCATGGCCAGTTGAATTGAAGATTCGTCAAGATTATCTGGGTGAGTTTAACACAACAACTTGAAGGACCTTAGCAGATGAGCTGAGGCTCCCTGGAGAAGAGATTCTACCAATGCAGCATCAGTCTGTGCCTGAGAGTCCCAGCCGACCCTCCCTCAAAGCCTGCTCTGAGGATCTCAGACTGGCCCAGTCAGCACCCCAATCAACACCCCCAATCCTACTACTGTCTCTTGGACGTAACCCTGCCTGATAAGTTACATCTCAGCACAGAAACTTATCCATCATGATACTTCTTTAAATGAGATAGAGACTTGCCTTTCTACCTCCCAGCGAGTATTAATTTATATATTTGAAAACGTGCAGAGTCTTGTTTTAATGGAGTCATGCTACCCCATAAGGTAAGTTTCAAATGTGTGTCATGGAGAGAGAACTACACGTGCCACACCACAGTGAGGCCACCAGTCCACCCCGACCCCCCCTTTCCCATAACACCATCCTCCTTTTCCCGTTGTATCCCACCTCGTCCTTCCACACCTTGTCCTCTAGGAGAAATCTTCATATTGATCTAGAAGTTTCTGTCTTCGTTCCCAATTATTGCCACACAATAGAAAGTGTGGTGCTTGGAGAGTCCAAACGGTCTGGGAGAGCCGGCAATCACCCAGAGTGAGGGTCCAAAGTTGTTTCTCCCCAGGATAAAAAGCAGCCTGAGATGATGGGGTGAAGGAGCCACTGAGAATGTAAGAGAACAAGAACGGGAAACCTGACTGCCCCTGGCTTGCACCCTGCGGGGTTTCAGTGACAGCATGTGGAGCTCAGCCACAGAGCACATTCCCAAAGATGTCCCTAGAAGTGGCCCCGTGCTCCTCAGGGCTGGGCAGCCCCACATCCTGGAGGTTCTGAGACTGCCATCCTGTCCCCAATTTTATGACTGTCACACCGAACGTCACAGCTGACGGTCTAGTCGCTAAGCTCACAGAGACGCTGGACGTTGCGGGCACACACAGGACCCCCTTGATAGCTTGGCGAGGGGGGCTAATTAAAAAAAAAATAAGCATTTTAAAAATCCTAATTTGGGGTGAGGAAGATAGCAGATTCCAATTCCAGCTTCAACCCCATGTGCCGTGTAAGCCCCGTCACCTTGCTCCTCAGAGCCCCGTCTCCCACAGCTGGGTGTACCCTCAATCGCTCGCATTTTAGACCACACACCCCTGAGAAGAACAACAGTGGTAGGTGCAGCTGGAACATCAAGGTGCAGCTGGATCATCTCAAGGAATGCTCGTCTCTGCCTGAAAGGGTTCCCACAGTGGCAATGCTGTTAAACAAATGACTAGTGCAAATCTAACTGAAAGGTTCATTGGGAGAGCTGAAGATAGAAGCTAAGACAATATTGAAAATGAAAGAGAAAAAAGGACATTTTTTAAAAAAAAAAGTCGTCTCGTTCCTATGTTCATAGCAACACTATTCATAATAGCCAATGTAAAGAGACAACCTAAGTGTTTTAGGACTGATGAGGAAATTAAGGTGTGTTATAGGTACACAATGGAATACTACACAGCTATAAAAAGGCAAGAGCTTACCACTTGTGACAACATGGATGGAAACGGAGGGAATGATGCTAGGGAAGTAAGTCAGAAGGAGAAAGCCAAATACCAGATGGTTTCACTCAGTCCCAATATAGAGAAGCAAAACAGCGGCAGTCAAAAGCTAAACCAAAATAAACTCAAGAATAATGACTGTAGAACTAAGGTTACCCAGTCAAGGAAGTGGGAAATAGGGAGCAAGGTGTGGGGGGCCCCCAATGGGCTGTGGTGGAGGATTATGGGCACCTCGTTGGTGATGTGGTGTGATCACACACGTCTGACGAGGAGGGGACCTATATCCTTAATTAACATACAGTGTTGTAAACCAGTGTGTCCCCAACAACAACAAAATAACAAAAATACTTAATTAAAAAGAATATTTGTTTTGGTTTCAACCTTTACTGTGAGAAAATAAAGGAAAAGGGCGAAGTAAAATGCACATTATCTGACGAATCCCTGTGTCTACACTAACACACCTTTTCCTGACAATTTACATTTTACATCACTTTTCTTTGGAAATCGTCAGTAGTAGAGGTGTGACAGCGACAGCCCGCTGCCTGGGGGAGATTCCGCCAATGCTGTTTTATGGAATGGGGTGGGGGTGACAATGATGAGAAGGGGTACGTCACACAGGCCGTTGACCTGAGTGTGCACGTCCTTGACCGAGACACCGGTGCACAGGAGACCCGAGGTCAGCCGAACTGTCCTCCAGGAGACTGACCTGGAGAGGCCAGATTGGGACGATGTGGGCTGAGAGCCACTGTCCTTCACACCCACCACAGTCAGCCTGCAAGTGAGACCACACAGCGCCGGGGGATCTGACAAAGGAGTCTCACTTTACCATCGCTGAGGCCTGGACCAAGGGGTCTGACTCCCACCCACTATGAACTCACTGCCACT